GGAGTTCAAAACTGATCCTAGTACTCCCTATGATAAATGGTAACCTTGATAAGATGTCTAAGACATTCCTGTAGCTAAAAGGGGCCCCTGGTGTACACCTGTTGTAGTCACTGAAGTCTTAGTTTGGTTTGAGTCTGAGTTTAAACGCCACGAGCATGGAGGATAATTTTGAAAGAATGCTTTGTTTTGTTTAGCATGAAGTCAGAGGAAACACCATGAAAATTTATGTAGGTTAAACTCATGCTGATCTTTATATTTTGTTACTATAGATTGTCACATGAAGGAGATGAAAGCTGCAGTTTTAAAAATTATTATTTTAATAGGACTGAGTCATTATAGAAGCTCCTTCTCTCCCCATCCCCAGTATAGAGGAAGATTTTTACAGAATTACTTAGTCTAGGTATTCTGGAAGTTTATTTTGTAGATGGATCATCTGAACCAAAGGTACTTGGTATCTTATTCTATGTCATACTTTCTTTCTCTTGCCATAAAGTTGTCTTTTGAATATTTGTTCTTGTAGTCTTATTTTGTCACTGTACTTTTTTGGGGGGGTCACCTAAAGCAAGGTTCTGTATTGTCTTAGTATTTGTAATGTAACTGTTAAATTCTTTTTGATAAAATCTAATGCCTTAGGGAAACTGATGGTTGGAAGTAAAAAAGCAATCCAGATCCAGGGAAGGACAGGAATAAAATCTCAGGACTTTCTGACATAGGAGAAGGTGAGAAATGCACGGTGAATAGTAACTGTATAGTTCTGACTTGGAGGTAAAGAGGAACAGAAGTGTGTTCTCTGTGGGACATGTTTCACATCACTGCTGAATCTAGTGGTACTCCATTCAAACTGTCTGGAAGTTGTTTTAATTTGGAATCTTTCATTGTCCCAGCCTGTCCAGCTTCAACCTCAATACATACACTCAGGGAAGGGTTTCATTGCGAGTACCTCGTGATGAAGTGAGAGTAACTACAGTAAAGATCAAAAGTAGAGCTGTTCTGCAATTTGGTAGTATCTGCCTGATTTGAATAAGCATGTGATGAATTGCACTAACCTGAGCTGCACCATAGCTCTTACCCTACCAGATCCCCAAGTCAAGCATCAGTAGCGCCTGAGCTTCAGGGCGCTCCTAGGATAATAAAAAGCACAGCGTAACGCAAACTGGAGAGTGCTCTGTGTGCACAGGGTCATCACTAAAGTCACCAATGTGGTAAAAGGCAGCCTTGTGTTTCTACTGTGCTGCTCAACGATGGCCCCTATACCAGAGGAGTTACTTGCAGCAGAGAATTTGGACAGCATGTAGCACTTACCTTCCTTCACCAATAAGGCTTGTGATGCTTCAGCATTAAGTAAATGAGTGCTCCAGCATTAAGTAAATGAGAGGTCTGGAATAATAGAGACCTTGAGTCTATTCCAAATGTTAGAGCTCTCTGCTGTAACCAGATAGTCTCGTTGTATTCTTGCTGACTAATTGAGGGTGTTATTTAGTCTTTAAATTCAATGAGAATGCAACCACAATTCTCACAAAGTTCTACAGTAGTGTAATGGACTCTGGAGTAGTGCCGGTAGGTATCAGACGGAAAAAATGAGACTCTTGAGAAGGAAAAGTTCTACAGTAATCAGCCTGTGGAAGTTTTCTTTCAGGCAGAACTGTGTCACAGTCTTTTGTTGCAAGTAAAATGGTTCTACTTGTTGAAATAACAATGGATTTTTATTTTTAATAGCAAGAGCAATGTTTTTGGAGCTATGTAGCCACATTTATTTTTCTGCTTCTAGATAATCTATACTTCATATAAGATTGTTTCCTTTCTTATTGAAATATTAGTCTTGTTTTGAGCTTGCGGGATTTTTATTTTTTTTAGAAAAAGGGAACAAAGCACAGATAAAGCTCTCTTTTCATTAGGTTTTGATTTTACAAGTACTTAATTTTTATCTTAAACTTTATAAGTATAAATTCTAATTAAATGTGAGTTCACAGTTACATATAAGATCACTATTTCTGAACAGTCCTTTCTCTTTAATGGATAATCAGTTTCAGCTGCTGAGTTTCTCTCAACAGGTACTGTAGGGGAAAAAATTATGAATAAATACATCAAAGGTATTCAGCTGCCAGAATAATTCTGGGCCTCATCTTCTTAATATATTACTACTTTAATGTATTCACTTTTGATCCTTTTAAAGCTGAAATAGTTTGTTTATTATGAGTGTTGTGACTTCAAACATTGGCAGGCCTTGAAGCCACAAGGTTAGGAATTATTATAGCATATCTGGAAGAGCAGCATACTTTAGTTTTGCCTTACAGCAAGTCATGAATCCTCTAGGGAAATACCCAGGTAGTTTGATAATGACTTTCTCACACCTAAGAATACTACTTTCCTCCTAGTCCCAAACCAGATGTGATTGGACTGATCCATACTTAAGAATACTTTTTAAAAAATAGGTCAATCTTTTGTACTTTGAAAAATTACAAGATATATTGAGGGGTTTCTTGTACCAGCAATATGTTGCTCCTACATCGCCAGGATGTAGTCTCTAATTAATTTTAAGGCAACATGCTCTCAGTGTTTTAGTATGATGGTTGAGAAGTGGTAGGTTACAATTTAACATGGTTAGCTGTCACTCTTAAACTACATATGCATAAGCTCTCCCAACAGCTTCATGTGCTTATCTGACGCTTGAATGTTCAGAAAGGAAGAAAGACAAACTATAACTGCCTTATATGTCAGTTTGCCTTTCTTTAAATGAGAATAGCATTGTGCTTTTGAATGTTTGCTTAGCACTAGTTGAGAAATATTTTTCTTCTAACTGCCCTGTAAAATACAGGGGAAGGAAAAAGGACAGAATAAAAACTAGCTCCCCTTCCGGTGCACATCTTTGCAGGAACTTGGTTTTATAGGATCTGACTTTTTTCCCCTGCAGTGTATGTTTATGAACAAATAATCTTTATGTATATATAGTAAAATGTGTTACTTGAAAGTCAAATATAATGTAAAACAAATCTGTTTGGCTTATGTAAATATTGCAAATCTTCAAAGTTGGATTGCTGAATCTGCATTCAAGTAGTTTTTATTTGTGGTCAGTGGAACTATGTAGCCACGCTTGTAAAGTATGTGTGAGGAATAGAAAAACACTAGGAGGTGAGGATACAGAAGCCAAGGTAAAGCAGAACTTGGAGGTGAAAGAGGGAGATGCTGTTTCCCTACATGAAACTGAATGCTGGAAGGAATAAGGTTTCATTTAAATTGTAGAAAAACAGCACATAAGTTTGACATAGAAGGTAACCCTACTGTGAAGACATAGTGCTGCTTTGAAAGACATACATAAGGATATAATCCCAAGATTTCCCTTTTGTCTCTTCTGTGTAGAGATCAAGATGAAGAAATGCTGTTAAATGTGTTAAATAACAAAATTCTTTATTTTTTCCTTTACAGTAAAAGAAGTGGAAAACAAGCATTGCAAAACAATGAGGTAATTCTTTCTTCATGTAATATAGTTTAAATAACTTTAAATAATACTTTTTTCCTTTAATTCCCATAGTTGTAATTTTATTTTGGACAGAATGATGGCTATAGTGCAGATGTGGTTTGAATGATACTTTCAGACTTGCATTGGTGAAACAAATGGAAAAATCAGGTTAATCACATGTGGCTGAAGTTTGACTGCATGATGATAGGTGCTTGATGTGTACCATGTGCTTTTTAATCTCTTTGTGCCTTATGAATGTTTAAGGGCTAGTGTTTTAAGTTTGGCTGTATGCATAGCAACAAACAGCTGCCTGTAGATTTCGTGTGACTTGTATTTGCTTTTTATCTAAAAGAAAAAGGTATAGAACAAGATGTAGTCTGACAATTATTAAAAAGTACTTCAAATTTCTGGTAGGAGATTTGGTATTTCCCTGGTCTTTTTTTTTTTTTTTTTTAAGGATATATTATATTCCTTTAAGTCAAGTTTATCTCACATTCAAATAAAATATGACAGCCCAAAAGACAAAAATAATGATTAAAAATATTGGGCCATAAGGTGGTATGAATAGATAACTATTCCACGTACTACCATCTTTGCTGAAAACTTAAAAGGCTTGCACTAGAAAAATATAAAGGTGCATGCAAGCATCATGTTGGCTTCTAGCCAGACCTTGGCTGCACTATCTGCCATAAACACTTGTATTTTGCATAATGATACCTATTTGTAAAAATCTTAATTGGCTTTCTCTTATTCCTACCCATCTTGGATATAATTATACTGGATGAGGTATTAACAGTACAAGAAAAAAAACAACTCCGGAATAGAAGATACTGGCATGAATATAAGTGCAATGCAGAAGTAGAAATGGGGAATAGATTAATAGAGAAGGAGAGCAGGTTCAGGTCAGACATCAAACATTCTTAGGTACTCCTAGAAACTTTGCACATCAGACATTGTGCCTGTCATTTCTGTTACAGAGGAGCGATAATGTGTAGGGTCATGCTTCATTAGGCCTGGGCAGTAGTCTCTACTTGTTGGGATTACTTGAATTTTTAGGTAAATGTTTCTAAATTAAAATATTTTTATCATTACCATATAATATCCTGTCTGTCTAGAATTTTTATCTGTAGTTTGCATTCACATAATTTTGGAAAAGGACAGGACTATAGTTGACTTCATCCTGTGAAAAACAGGTGTAGGCTCATCCACAGAGTAAATTTGTGTTTGCTGGGGCTCAGAGTTTGCACTTGTTGTCCATTATGTTGCATCTGTAAACAGTAAGTGAAGAGATCAAGTTGGGCAGTGGGCTCTTTGTGCAAGTTTCTGTGGTTTAATCATCCTTAGAAATAAAAAGAGTGGTTGATAGGATTGTCTGAGTTGTTAATGATGAATCACAGGCTACTTTCTTTGTCTTTGCTATCCTGTCTCCCTATTTTTTTCTTTCAGGTTTCCTGTCTGAGTATGTTGTAGTATTGCTATAGGCATTGTTAACTTAGGCTTCACACGAGTCTTGGTTAGCAAAGATAGCAGGATTAGGCTGATTAGACAGGACATGTTTTAAGTACACATGTATGGCCTTTTAGTCTGTTTTCAGGATTGATTTCTTATGTCACAACTGTGAAAGGAAAGAAAGAAAAGACATCTGGACCATTAGCTTGTTAAAAAGCGTTCAGGTTAGTCAGGACAGAAGCTAGGGTTATACAGAGTAAACAAATGCAGCTGACCCAAATAAAAGGTGTTTGGGTATAGGAGGGTTTTAAAGTCTGGTAGTTGCAGCTCACTAGGAGTGTGTTGCACTGTTTTTTAGAAGTAAAGGAATAACAAATTCTGGTAGCACTTGAAGCGAGTTAGGGCTGTACAGTCAAGCAGTTTAAACTATTGATAGTCTAGAGAAATGATGGAAGGGATCTTTAAAAATACTGGCTGAAGGTGTCTTCTAGAGACAAGCAATGTTAAGAGAAGGCAGATTATAACTTGTAATGGAATATTTTAATGCTGTGGTCTGCATTGTTTGTGTATTGCTTTTAATGTAGATATTAAATAAATATTATATAATGGCAGCTACTTCCTATTGCAATTTGTTTTGATAGCTTAGTTCTCTTAGGATTTATGTTAGCTTGGATAGGGGAAACATCACATCAACGTTTAAATAATACATTACACAAAAATCTCACTTTTTCTTTTGCTTGTTCTATGTGCAGCAGAAAGAGGGAAAGAAGGAGCGAGCAATGGTGGACAGAGTGTTTATTGCAAGAATATGTCGAATCCTGAAAATAATGGTCCCTAGAACACTTTGTAAAGAGGTAAGCATTGCCTGCAGTAACAAATAAAATGAGCAGTTTTGGAATCAACTTTTCTTTCCTAATTATATCAGAATTTAAACAAAAGCATATACTTGAATAGGACTAAATTGTACTACATGTTTTACAATGGCTACGTGTTAATATAAAGATCTACATGTATGTGCAATTGTTAGATCACTAAAAAGTTGCATTCTGGTTTCAGTTACAGGATAAGCCATTTACTGTCAGCTAATAACTGCTGTCTGTAGTGTATCTTTTAAAAGGGCATCTGGGTTTTGCTTGATTTGGTGCAAGGCAGTACGCTTCTGTGTGCAAGTGCTTCCTATCTTTAAATACCATGCTGTTCATAATTTTGCTTTTGTAACTTATATCTAAGTCAACTCTTATTAGAAAGTGAATTTGTCAAAGTCTGTTAGCATCATTTCAGGAAAACAATATGGATTAGAATTTAGCAAGATAAAATTGTTTGCCTCAGCATCTTTCTCATGCTTTCTAGAACACTGAAGTTTTTTTAAAAGAGCATTAATTGACCTCAGAACTTAAGTGATGAACTGTAATATATTAGACCTTCAGCATGCATCAGGCACAACAGCAATGAATTCCAGTATACAGAATGTAGAGCAAGCATGGAAGCCAGCAGCCTGGATGGACCTTTGACAACTCATTCACAAAAAGGCAGTACACAGAAGGCAGAAGCATGGTTGGAAATGCCTCTGAGAGTGCTGACAGAGCTGGCCTCTATCAGTTTCAAAAGGTCATGGCTATCACAAGAGATTACTGATAATCCTCCAAAAACTCAAACATCACTCCCATCTTCAAAAACAAGTATACTGGAAGCTACAGGCTGGTCAGGCTCACCATATGTCTAGTAAGGCTGTGAGCAAATCCTCCTGGAAGCTAACTCTGGCTGCATGAAGGACAAAAAGGTGACTGCAAACAGCCAGCCTGGATTTACAAATGACAGATCATGCCTTACTAACCTGATTGCTTTCAGCAATGAGATGACTGCCTATGTGGATAAGGGAAGAACAAAGGATGTTGAATACTTTGATTTTAACAAGGCCTTGAGACTAAGGGCTCCCCTAGTACCCTGATAGCCAAACTGAATTGACTGAATGAGTGGACAGTGAGGTGAATGGAAAACTGGCTGGACTGTTGGACTTAAAGGTTTTTGATCAATGGCACAAAGTCAGACTGGTTACTAGTGACCCTGTTTTGAGTGGGGAGTTGCAACCTTCAGAAGTCGCTAGCAACCTATATAACCCTATACTTATGGTAGAAAGGTGTTGCCGAATAGCAGTAACTTCTTTATCCTTGCAATCCTCCATCTTATACGATGTGTCTAGTAGATCACAGAATGGTGGGGGTTGGAAGGGACCTCTGGAGAGCATCTAGTCCAACCACCCTGCCAAAGCAGGTTCACCTACAGCAAATTGCACAGGAAGGTGTCCAGGCAGGTTTTGAACATCTCCAGAGATGGAGACTCCACAGCCTCTCTGGGCAGCCTGTTCCAGTGCTCTGTCACTCTCAAAGCAACAGAGTTTTTCCTTATGTTCAGGTGGAACTTCCTATGTTCCAGTTTGTGCCCGTTGCCCCTTGTCCTGCCTGGGCACCACTGAAAAGAGACTGGCCCCATTCTCTTGATTCCCTCCCTTTAGATATTTATAATCATTGATAAAATCCTCCCTCAGTCTTCTCTTCTCCAGGCTAAACAGACCCAGGTCTCTCACTGTTTCCTCCTAAGAGAGATGCTCCAGTCCCCTAATGGTCTTCATAGGTGTCTACTGGACTCTGTCCAGTGGTTCCTTGTCTTTCTTGAAGTACTTCAGATGTGGCCTCACTATGGCACAGTAGAGAAGGAGGATAACTTCCCTTGACCTGCTCACCACATTCTTCTTAATGCACTCCAGGATAACATTGGCCTTCTTTACCATGAGGGCACATTGCTCGCTCATGGTTAACTTATTGTCCACCAGGACTCCTTGGTCCTTCTCTGTAGAGCTGCTTTCTAGCAGGTCAAACTGTACTGGTGACAAACTGTACTGGTGACATGGAGTTATTCCTCCCTGGGTGCAGGACTCTACACTTGCCTTTGTTGAACCTCATCGGCTTCCTTTCCCCGCAGCTCTTCAGCCTGTCCAGGTCTCGCTGGATGGCAGCACAGCCTTCTGGTGTGTCAGCCACTCCTCCCGGCTTTGTATTGTCAGTGAACTTGCTGAAGATGCACTCTGTCCTTTCACCCAGGTCATTGATGAGTATGTTGAACAAGACTGGAGCCAGTACTGATCCCTAGGCGACACTGCTATTCTCTGAACTCTGCCATTCAGACAGTTCTCAATCCACCTCACTGTCCACTCATCTAGCCCACAGTTCCTAAGCTTACCTATGAGGATGTAATGGGAGACAGTGTCAAAAGCCTTGCTGAAGTAGAGTTAGATAACATCCACTGCTCTCCCCTCATTTACCCAGCCAGTCATGCCATCATAGAAGGCTATCACATTGGTCAAGCATGATTTCTCCTTGGTGAATCCATATTAACTGCTCCTGATAACCTTCTTTTCCTCCAGATGCTTAGAGGTGACACCTAGAATGAGCAGTTCCATCACCTTTCCAGAATAGGATGTATTGCCCAAATGCAGCTTTTTAAAAGTCAAACTTTCTTCATAAAAATGTAATCAATATTTTATTAAAATTATTGTATGCTAATGTGTTTCCTGCAAAGTAAGCAAATACTACAGTAGCTAGGGGCAGCAGGGTAACAGTTTTCTACTGCATATGGTTGGGCCACTTACTAGAACAAAGTGGTTAATTTTATACACGTTTAACTGTTGCAGTTCTATTTTTGTACTAGACAGGTTACTTGCTGCTTATTGCTGTGATGCTGGTAGTCCGCACGTATTGTGATATTTGGATGATTCAAAATGGAACAGTCATTGAAAGGTATCTATGAACTTGTTATTTTTAAACATTTTTTTCTGTGTTTAACAGGGCAAGTAGTCTGTCAGAACATGTTTGGACATTTTATAGCTTGCTTATTTATATAAAACAGAAAACTAGTGTATTTGCAGTTTTTTGGAGGAGATCCCTATTTTTTTTTTAAGAAAAAAAAATTAACTGTGTTTCTGCTGTTGGACACTTTTTTGAAACCAAAATTTACTTATTAAATGATTTTCAGTTCTTTTGGTCACATTTTGTATACTGAAGACTCTAGATCTTTTTTTGATCGGAACATCCAAGGGTGCACTTCAGAATACCAGCGTAGTGGTTCTATGTCATAGCCTCAGACATGTTGCTTGGCTTTTAGGACTGTTTTTTCTTCCTACTGAGCTGTTTGCTCTTTAGATTGATAAATAAAATGCTTTCAGTCTTACTGTTTTAGAAAGTGTTTTCTAGACCTCTGATTATTCTTATTGCTAACTGAAGAAAGTCAGAATTTGTCTTGAAATGTGAATTCAAAATTATATTGTACTTCAGGAGAGACTTCCAGTGCTTTGTACAGTGGAACTACTGCTTTGTTTCTTTCTTGTGAGAATCTTTGAATGCAAGAAGGAAAGGAACTGGTATTGTGTGACCATGAATTTCTGAGCCCTTAATGCAGGCAGTTGCTGCATGCACAGAAGGGAGATAATTGCTTAGTCTGTCACTTAGCACTTACAGAAGTCTGTCATACTTGATCCTACAGCTGATACTACAGATTTCCACGATGATTTTTTTTTTTCCTCTGTGTGCTTCACTGAGAATTTATCCTCTTAGGACATGCTAGTTTATACTTTCTTGTTTCTCTGACTTCAGTAACTAACTCTTAGCTGCTGGTCTTTTACAGTGCTATCATTGGACGCAGCAGAAAAGATTTCAAGAAATACTTGTTCAACTTCATTGCCGCGATGCCTGCTGTAAGTGCTTTTCTTGTAATGGCCATTTAGTAGAACATATTTTAAATGTAAATTAAGAAGTTGAGGAAAAGATATCAAACTAGTGTCTTAAACCCTAAGGAAATTAGTTGATTAACATGCAGGTCTGCATTAAGATGCATTTCATTTTCTGGCTCCAGTGTGTGGGAGACTTCATCAGCATGCATATTGATTGCAGCTATTTTTGACAGGTATGTTTAGGTTTTCAGGTTGGTTTTGTTGATGGCAGTTTTGACTGATGCTTTCTGTAGTGTTGCGTAATAACATCTTAATGGACTGGATGATGTTTCAACATTGTAGGTTTGTGATTCTTTTGACACAATTAAAGATTAAGATTTCAGTCTTTAATTTTTATATTTCTTACAGCTTCTTCTGAGATTTGTTACGGCTTTCTTCCACCCTTTAACTTTCCTTCATCTTATCAACATCTCTGACCTGCACCAGATAGAAATAATTGTTACTACCTAAAATAGATAATGTACCTGTTTACAGTAGTTTTAAAAGTGAATTGATTGATTTGTCAAACAGTGGTTTTTTTCTAGAACTTATCAGAAGAGCTGAAGATATACTATGTGAACATAGTTTTATATTAAACCTTTTGATGTGATGAGATCCACTGGGAACTTGAATTTTCAAAAATGTAGACAGAAACCTAATCAGTGGTCCTGCAGACGCTACATGGTTGGTCTTAGGTGTGTTAATGGTATTATTGACTTCAAGGGGAGAATTCACCTGTTCTAAAGTGTTTGCACAATTTATGCTATAAACTGATTTAGGTATATTAAATCTTGTTAGCTAAATATTGAAATACTATCTCTTATTTTAGATCTCTCTAGTGAATAACTTCCTGAAGTATGGTCTAAATGAATTGAAACTTTGCTTCCGAGTAAGACTTACCAGATACCTCTACGAGGAATATCTTAAGTAAGTAACATTTTGTTTATTTCTAAAGGTTTTAAAAATGAAATTGATTAAAATCAAACCAAATCATTTTAAGTACATAGTAAGAAGGTAGCAAAGTTAGGTATACTGTTTAGAAAAGGCTTTTGATTGCAATTAACTTGGAGTTAAGGATGAGTAGCTTATTCAGATTGTATACAGCACAGATACAAGGACAACAAAGTTGGCTCAGTTTGGGGGGTGGGAAAAATAATGTGCTGTACTCCTTCCATTACTGGTCAGCTTTCAAAGTACTTCATATAGTGCTAATAATCCTGCAGACTGAATTGGATGCATGAACTTGAGTAGTGGTTTATGTCCTTCTGCACTGAATTTGGTTGTCAGGTGTTCTGATGCACAGTTTGTGAGGGTTTTCTAACTCTTAAGTGCAGCTGCAGTGCATAGAGCAGCATGGGCCTGAGTTTTAACTAAGACGTGCTAGAGCCTAAACAGTTCTGCAAGGTTCAGTGTGGATCTGGTCAGGCAGCACAAGCTAAGTTGACTCCATACAGTCATTTAATGCTTGCATTACTTCCCATCTCAGTTGTATGAAGCAGGGGGGTTCCAATTATTTGAGATCCCCAGTTATGAGGTTTTTTTCTGCCACTCAGCTATTGTTTTCTTTCAGAGCTTATACATACTACAAAATGGGAAATCTGGACAACAGAATAGCTAATCCAGATCAACTCCTTACACAGGATGTGGAAAAATTCTGTAACAGTGTAGTGGACCTATACTCAAACCTTAGCAAGGTAAGTCTTTCCAGAAAGAACTTTGCATAATAGCTGTGGGAGTTTAGGATGTGATGTCAGAGATCAAAACAGTGACCTCCACTTACGTGTATTGCTTGGAGTATGGTGCTAAAAAAATTGTTTATGGTATTATATCATTTCACACTCTGTGCTTTCCATTACCTCTGCTAAAGCACTGTTGGGGTGGTTATAATTTGTATTAAATTTTCTTTTAAAGAACTTACCATGTTCTTATCGCATTCTTTTGCAGTTGAACAGTGATGAGTACAGTTTCACGGCTAGTTAGGTTTCAGAAGAAAACCAATACCTGGCTTTTAGTTACATACAAATATTATTTTGGGTAGAGAGGTATGGTTGAATAAACTTTTCTATCTGTTTCTGCTGTAAATTTTAAGGGTTTTAGGTAATGAAGGAGAATACTGTTGAAATTTTGACACGATTTTTTTTTTATGCTACATTGTTCATACAAGCAGAAGTATAAAGCAAAATACAAGTTGATGTGTTCAACAGCTTCTGGCCACAAAACCTGTAGTTCAGCTGTTCTAGCTTAGAGAGTGAGTGTATGGAACAGGATACTTCCAAATTGGAATATTGCTTCTATCAGGTACATAGCCAACTATATGGCATTATCCTTCTGCTCAGTATTTCTCTCAATTACTTCAGTTAAGTAATCATGTGGTCTAATACAACTTTGCTTAGTGAGCAGATTATGAAGTGCTTTCTTATTCAGTATGTATTTTATCTGAAGATCATGATGCTTTTATGTTCAGTTCTTGAGTGAATATTTTCAGGAAAATGTCATGTGGCTGAGATTCCTTTTGTTCTAGCATTTAGTTTGTGTAATAGGTTAACCAGTATTGTGCTCTTAATGCAGAGCTATAACTATTCTTGGGGTGGTTAGTGGCTTCTGGACCATTTTATATTCATTTTATGTTGGTATTCTAATGCTTTTTTTCCCCTATGCTTCTCTTACAGCCCTTCTTGGATATAGTCTTGTATATCTTCAAGCTAACAAGTGCAATAGGAGCTCAGGTAAACTGAGTGGGGTTTTTAGCATTATGAGCATATTTGCTCTCTGTGGTTATAGCCTTGTATCTGTTTGGAGTCTGAGTAAAACTCTAGACGTTAATTATAGATTCATCCATTATTTGAAGGGATGTAGTGAATATGTACTTTTTACACTTAAGGTTTTCTATGTTTTAGTGCTCTCTATCTTCAGGCAAGCAAAATAGAGAACAGAATTTTCAGGCATTAGATCAACAATTCGAAGAAACAAAGTTCCTTATTTTCCTCTAGCAGTTATTTGGGAATCCCATTTAGTACAGTGCCCTTCTGGCTGCTTATACCTTGTGTGACTTCTATTTAAGGGAGAAAGTTAGTTTTCTGTTTCTTTGCAGCCTCTATGAAGGGGAGCCATTCTTTGCATTGAACTGTATGACCATTATATTCCCCCCACCACTGCGATAAGCTGAATAATTTAAAAAATAATTCTTTATCTTAGTAAAATGGTGCATTATCAAAAATATTCAGGATTTGACAAGAAGTACCTCTGGGACAAATGATATGGATTTTGTCAAAACAGACTGCTTAGCTGAACCTAGGTGATTTTTCCAGTCTCGGATGTCTTCGCATTGCTCTCTGTAATAGTTATTACAGGCAGTTTATGCCAAATTCAGTTTATGCCTTTGGCTTTATGCCATGCCACAATTCAGTAATATTTAACCGTGCTGTGAGTCCTGGTCTATTGAAGCTTAGGATCCAGAAGAATAAGAGATGCTTACCAGGACTGCTTGAGAGAAGCAGGAAATGTGTCAGAGATGTATGGATCAAAGAAGGGAATGGGATTGAAATAGTGACTGCTATGACAAAGTAGCAAATATAGAGAAAAAGAAGTAGGTAGAAATGAAGGAGAGGAAATAAAAAGATCAGATAGGGCAGGAGGACATGGGGGTCACACTGGGTGGTAGTAGAAAGTTGAGTAGAAGGCTGGATTGGAAGGGCATCTGGGGACAAAGAAAGAATTAGTAAAATTTGTAAACAGTATCTACAACACAGAAGAAATTAACATGATGGGAATTGCAAGAGTAATTGAATTGGTAGCATAAACACATGGGAGGTCAGAATCAAGGGATTCATGCTTTCTGGGCATTTTGAATACAGATGTTGCAATTTGAGACGGTCTAAATGGTAAGCTCTTATTCTTTTTTGATATTCACAGGGTCCAGCTAGCATGATGGCATACTTGATTATTTCAGGGTTTTTCCTTACGCGTTTAAGGAGACCAATTGGCAAGATGACTATTATAGAACAAAAATATGAAGGGGAGTACAGATACGTCAACTCACGGCTTATTACAAACAGGTATACATGTGCTTGTTGGCAAGATATAAGTGACAAAGGAATACTGTTTTGTAAATGGAAGCTGTATGTTAAAATATATGTGGAAAGTCTGATGCTATGAGTTCTGAGCAAAGTGTTTGCATCTTTATGCAGGTTATTATTAAATGATTTGTATGGGCATTATATTCCTAATTCAAAAGACAAACTGTAGCAGGGATATAATAAGCTTATGTTCTACTGTTGTGGAAAAGTAAAAACTTTATTTCATAAGGTAACTGGAAGAAGTATATTTGTGTTTTATGGCTGACTTTTTCAAAGACTGTCTTTAACAAAATGAAATTGCATTCTTTGTGGGTTTATTGTTTTGTTTTGTTTTTTTTTAGTGAAGAAATTGCTTTTTATAATGGAAACTTGAGAGAAAAACAGACTATTCACAAAACCTTCCGTAAACTGGTAATACTACTTTTATCTTTTAAAACATTATAAGAAAAACTTAAATTAGTTTTATCATGGTGATTCTTGACATATATTAATATAAATTGAATTATAGTGACTTCATGTTTATGCTGCTACAATCATTAGATCTTAAAATAAATTACTAGGCTATAAGCAGAACACAAGTTTCTGATAGAATAGTCTTTCTCTTGCCACTTTTCACGCACCACAATTACTATTATCTCACTGCTTAATTTCAAGCATAGATTATTTTGATCTAGAGTGCAAGTCTTTGCCAACAGGGACGCTTGTGCAGTGCTTGTTACTGGCATGTTGTGGTATTTGTGAATTACTGAAAAATAACTGTTTGGAATCAAACTTCTGTAAAATAATAAAAGATAGTAAAACAGGCACTGATATAATTTGACCGTTTTTTTTTCTCTATATTTGACAGGTGGAACACTTGCATAATTTCATCCTGTTCCGATTCTCTATGGGTTTCATTGATACTATAATAGCCAAATGTAAGTGTTTATCCAGTGCTAATGGATTGCTATAAATAACAAAGAGCTAAGCTTTTTACATGAGAATTCTTTTTTCTTATTGCTTCAATTAATGTGTAGCTTAATATTTAACTTATTAAACTGCAGACCTTGCCACTGTGGTTGGTTACCTGGTTGTTAGTCGTCCGTTTTTGAACCTGGCTGATCCTCGTCATCAGAATAGTACTCATGCAGAACTTTTGGAGGTAAATAGAACAGAATTAAAACAATTTCCTGAATTTAAATTTTGTTAGTCTACATAAAGAAACTTTCTTCCACTCTAGGATTACTACCAAAGTGGAAGAATGTTACTGAGAATGTCTCAAGCTTTGGGCAGAATAGTCCTAGCAGGCCGTGAAATGACAAGATTGGCTGGGTAAGCTTAGTAGTAGTTGTGTAAGATAATCTTTCTTAGTTATGTTGTTGCTGTTTCTCATCTCACTTTAAGAAACTGTAGAATTAAAATGAGCTTATGTGCTGTGTTCTAAAAATCTAGAAATTAAAAACATTTTATGCTGAAAATGTGTCTGAAGACATGCTAATTATGTCCACTAGTAATTTCATATCTGAATAGTAGCAGCATACAGTTTGAATACTTACTTGAAAAGACATTGTCAAATGATTATAAATCAGTTATGTATTGATTATTACAAACTATTGTTTATTTTTACATCTTAATAAGAAAAGTTATTAAACATAGTATATTCCCTGCTATTACAGGAAAAAGTTCTTGTAAATATTATTGGGCAACCTCAATACAACTCTAAAATGTAAACATCCTATTTCATCCTGTTTCTATGCTGGGTTGAATAACTCATTTTTGACAGTTTGAGTACTCATTAGAGCTTCTATGGATTTCTAAAACTTCTAAAGATTAATTACTTATAGTTGTTTGGCTTTTTTTTTTTTTTTTTTTTTAGTTTCACAGCTCGGATTACAGAATTAATGCAGGTTCTGAAGGACTTGAATAGTGGCAAATATCAGCGTACTATGGTATCACAAGAAAAAGGTAGATGTGACATAATATGCAATATGTGCATGTCTGTAGTGTTCCAGTCTCTAATATTTTTTTTTTCTTACTTTAAGATGCAGATAAAAAGCAAGCTTTGCCTTTGATACCTGGATCTGGAGAAATTATCAACACTGATAACCTTATCAAGTATGTTTACACAACTTTAATACTTTTAATGTAGTCTGGCTTTTAAGTCTTCCCCTCTACCACTATTAATAGAGGTTTTAATACACATTATTACAATATGCAATTCCTGTTGTACTATAGTTTATTTACAAATAATTCCACCAGACTCCCACTCAGCATTTCTATTCAGTAAGTCAATCTTTATCCTCTAATTTTAGCAGAATCACAGAATATTAGGGATTGGAAGGGACCTCAAAAGATCATCTAGTCCAATCCCCCAATGCTGTCTGGACTTAGCCTTTGTGGTAACATTTTTTACTGTCCTTTGGAATATGACTTCCCAGACCATTTTGTTGAACTTTTATGAAATTTCTTCTTAGAAATATCTTGGCTACAGATTTTATTTCATGATAGAATTCTGTTGTAAAAATCAGGGGCAAGTCGGTAGTTAGTTTCAAAATATTTGCTCGTATTTCTGCATGCTTGGACAGTTCATTGATGTACTCAAATAGCAATCAATTCCTCAGTTCTTTTCAGTCTGAGGAATGTAATATTGGCATAGTAGTACTACTTAAAGGCATAAAGTAAAGCCAGTTAAGAGATTAAATAGCCTCAATCTGGTCAATGTAGAAAGAATATAGTGCAGCAGAGTGGAAAGGGGGGAGGAAGAGGGAAAGGAGAAATGACAAAGGATGTGATAGAGCTATTTTTATTATTTCATTAAAAAAAATCTAGGCAGGAGGTGAATGGATAAGTTGTTCATTGTGTCTCCTAGAACTAATGAAATACACTTCCACTAGCAGGTTTAAAATTAAGTGCATCCTTAAATGTAGGTTTATATCCACAAGATATTTTGGAGACCAAAGGCTTAGAAGGATTCAGGAAACAAGTATGTGAGGGGGAAAAAAACCCAAGCCTATAGATGTTTGTTAAACACTAAGGCACTACTTTTGGTTCAAGAACTTCCTTAGCTGTTAATAGCTGGGAAATTGGGATAGTGTATTGAATGAAGTACTGCTGAAGTCTTGCCCTATTCCTTAAGTCTCTGAGTAAGCATGCAGTGTTAGCTGCTTTTAGGCAACTGTGTTTGTTTTTGTTTTTTTTTTTAAATGTTGCAATACAAATAGGTTTGATCATGTTCCATTGGTGACACCTAATGGAGATGTTTTGATTCAAGACCTTAACTTTGAGGTAAGTTTTTTTTAATATCATAGAAAATTATATTCATATAAAATTTTAAAATTAAGATTATAATTTTGGAGGTAATCTAATTTATAAAAAATTTAAAACAAAAATGGAGAGGTGCTTATATGGTGTGCTCAAATCTGAACAAAATTAATTATAGGGTTTTTTTAAAAGAAAAAAGGCAATAAGCTATTTTCCCCAAAAAATGTTTTTATTGTTACAAATATGTTTTCTTCCAGCTGTAGCTGATACTAACCTAGTTGGAAAAAAAATTACTTATTAATGGAAATTACTCATTGTGATGTCAGAAAGTACTATGTACAAGCCTACAAGGATACCAGCTTTCTTATTGTTTGTAGAAGCTTTCAACAGTACTTTCTTGCCACCCTTTTATTGTGTTGGCTTTGCGTTTTTAGGTTCGATCTGGTGCAAATGTTCTGATTTGTGGGCCAAATGGGTGTGGGAAGAGCTCACTTTTTCGTGTTCTTGGTGAGGTAAGGAAAGGTTTTTTTAAATAAATGGAGGAGAATCTAAAGCACTGTTGTAATTGGACTTTTTTGGTCAAGTTGAAACCTTTTTCTTCTTGCAGTTGTGGCCTTTGTTTGGTGGACGTTTAACAAAACCTGTAAGAGGAAAGTTGTTCTATGTTCCCCAGGTGAGGCAAAGTACTTTAATTGACAATAGTGTTCTCTTTCTTCCTACTTTGACTATGTTTAGAAATATTTGACATACTTTTTTCTTTCTAACTGTATCTCAGAGACCATATATGACTCTTGGAACGCTCAGAGATCAAGTTATATATCCAGATACTTTAGAAGATCAGAGAAAGAAAGGGATTTCTGACCAGGTAATGATAATTGGTTCATGAACCCTTTTGTCTTGCTTAAGATGAGTAATGGTTCAGATTTAAAAATACTGAAATTGCTATTAAAAACACTGCACTTTGTTTTTCGTATTTATCAGGGTTGGTAGTACACCAGTATATACACCAGTATAACCCTTTATAATCTTTCTCAATCATTTCTTTAAGCTCACTTAAGCTCTATTTGTCATTACTGTTTCAATAAAAGGTGCTGAAGGAGTACTTGGATAATGTCCAGCTGGGTCAAATCTTGGAACGTGAAGGAGGCTGGGATAGTGTTCAAGACTGGATGGATGTACTCAGCGGGGGAGAAAAACAGAGAATGGCAGTATGTCTCAAAAGCATAAATACTTAATAAATAAAGGATGTAGGTCAAAAATATGATCTGAATTGTAAGCAATTTTTGTTTACTGAATACTAGTATTTTACTTAAAAGAAACTCACAAAATGTAAAATACCCAAATACTGAGAAAACAACCTAAAATAGTGTTGTAGTCAAAATTTAATAGGAAATGTTGATCTTTTACCATGCCTTACACTTTGATTATATAAATAGAAGTTCTAAAATAATTGGGGTGGAGTTTTTTGTTTGTTTTTTTTTTTTTTAAAAAAAAAAAGGAAAAGTAAAAATAATGTACAACTCCTGGATTTTCAGGCTTCAGTGGGTGCCAACTTAAAAGAAATTCCATTGCCACAGTAAATTTTTGGACACTAATTCTTAATTTAATTTCTAACGCTGATATATTGGTTGTAGTTCTGTATCCACAGTAGCTTTTTGGTTTGCATTCCAGATGGCAAGGTTGTTCTACCATAAGCCCCAGTTTGCAATCCTAGATGAGTGCACCAGTGCTGTTAGTGTTGATGTAGAAGGCTACATTTATAGCCACTGCCGAAAGGTAAGCTCTTTGTTTCTAGAATTATATCTCTGTATGTTAAGAGGAAAGTTAAAATGATCAAGGATGCTGATCAAGGATGCACGCTTCCCTATGCCTAGTGCAGAATTAAAAAAAAAAAAGTTTAGAAGAGCATGTGAGGACCCTTTATGCACACTAGAATTCAATAATTGTTTTGTAGTCTTAGGATAATTTAGATGTACATGTGGCCTCTGTATGTCATAGAACTCTTACTAATGGCTAAATGACCTTACTTTTCCAGATCAACTCTTAAAATGTCAAGATGAAATAATCTAAAATTTTGGGGGAGGGTTTGTTGTTTGAGAGGTTTCTTTTGTCCAGGGCAACAGAAGTGAAAGGATGGAAATTAACACTTCTATCTATTTTGAGATATGAAAAGCCAAGCACTCTAGGAAAACATGATGATAGTCTTCTTTTTCCTTTCCCACTTATACTCACAATTTCAGATTCCATGTAGTGCCATGTGTGCAATACCAGTAAGATTCAATTTCACACCCCTAACCTGGGAAAGAATGGGCTTGAAATAACATTAGTTATTGAGTAGCAGTTTTCTCAGAATGGTAATGGAGCAAAGCTGTGCATCCCCTGAAATATGTGCTTGAAACTTGAAGCAGGAACTTAAGGAGCCTTCTGTAGTATTAAATTGACACTAGATGAGGACTCTGCACAGAATGGACATTATTTCCTGAACTACTTTTATCACATTAATATCAATATTCTGACAATTTTCTACATCTGTTTTGCATATAGTTGTTATTCTGTGAACTTGAATATTCTGTTGTACTTTTGTTTTAGAGTTACTGTTGCCGAGTGGCTAATGGATGTTACTGAAAAACAAAATTCCTTGCTAAACTGTCCTTGCAGAAAGAAAAAAATGTTACCCTATTTTATTGCCAGAACCATTTTGTCCTTTAATTGGTGCTACTGTTAGGGATGCATAATTAACTGAGTTGCAAGGAAACAAAGACAGAGTATTCATTTTTAAATTGTCACTTTAAGTTTATAATTCATAAATAGCTCTTGTGGTTTGGGGGTTTTTTGCTGCTAAAGTAGACATCTTTTAATCACCAGGTTTGTTGTTTTACCTGCCTCCTACCTTGCCTCCTTTGCACAGTTCATTCTGCATTTTGCCAAATCATTAGGAGCAAAAGAGTACTGAAATCAGTTAAAGATAAATCCCTCCTGCTCCTTTTTTGTTCTTTTTTTTTTTTTTTTTACACTGCCAAGTCTTGTATTAAGGCTACACATGTATACTGTTAATAATGGAGTCTGGAAGTTAGTGTTTATGATTTTAAGCTCTTCAGCTGATATCATGCTGAAAAATAAATAACACCTAACCCATGAGAAAAAAATTAACTGCTTTATTTTCTTCATGTAGGTTGGCATTACTCTCTTCACTGTCTCCCACAGAAAGTCACTCTGGAAACATCATGATGTATGTAGTCTTTGCTTTTGCTAAGGATATCTGTGGAAATTTTACATCGTAATAGGTCATGTTCTGTGTGGGGTTTTTTGGTTTTTGGTTGGTTGTTGGTTTTTGGGGGTTTTTTGGGGGGGGTTTTTTGTTTTTGTTTTTTGTGTTTTTTTTGAAAGGTTTTACTTTCATAATACAGTTGTACTATTTGAAGTATTCTTATGCTTCTGGTTATGAAGGGAAAAGTAACCAAAAAATCCTTAAATATATCTGTAAAAGTAGCCTCAAAAATAGGAAAGCCTCACTAGATACTTGTCTTCTTTAACCTAAAAAAAACCCCCTTGAACCAGAATCCAGTAAACAACATGGAGTTTTTGCTTTCAAGGTACATAATATATCCATGCATAAAAAAAAGTTCATCTATAATACATGGACTTCTCTTCTTCTACACTAAAATCTACACTAAGATTTTACTGTTGTTATTCCTTTTTATGCAGACAAACTGTATGTGTGGGAAAAGTACTGAATTAATACACAGGGATGCATGTGTACCTTAAGTATATTGTCACAAACCCCAAGACAGCAGTGTTAAGTCTAGGTGTGACTATTAGCAGACTGATGGATGATATGAACAAAAACAGTGAAGTGTTTTTGCAGAGGCAATTGAATTTAATGAAACATGAGGTGAGAGAAGCCTACCTTCTGGCTAGCTGAGTTTAAGATCATGTATTAAAACTTCTTCAAAATACAGTTTATTTAGGCATTTATAGACCTGTTAATTTTTGGGTAGTTGATAACATATGTTCTTTTATTTCAGTTTTACTTGCATATGGATGGCAGAGGAAACTATGAGTTCAAGAAAATAACTGAAGACACAGTTGAATTTGGATCTTAAAATCATGAACTGAACTGCTTACAGAGACTGATGATTACAGGAAGTGTGTAGAATGGCAGACATTGTACAATAAAACTACTCAGCTTGTTTTTTAAAAAAATTAACTAGGATAACACAAAACAAGCTGTTAAACGTTTACTGTTATGTAGGATATTGCTAATTGTGTATATGTTGGTTTAATTATTGATATGTACTAAGAATGTCCTTATTCTTGTGGTTTAAAAACCTGCCTAAATTAAATTGGGCTTAAATCAGTGTAACCTGATTCATCCTGGGATGCAAACCATTTGAAATCAGCTGATTTGACTTTTGTAGACCTTCTTTCCCTTCAGTGAAAAGCCCTGTTAAAATTAGGGTTGCTACCTCTCTAGTTCCTGCAAAGCAGTCTTGGATTTTTGCTCTGTTCTATGCATATTTCTGAGTTATTTCACATGGTGCAGGACATTCTCTTATCTTCAGATCTCTTCCCTGTTAAATGAAAGAGCCTCTTCCTTGACCAAGCCTTGTGATGTAGCCAATACACCCTTGCTGATAAAGGGTGGACTGAACCTAAAAGACAAAACTAATTCCTTCTGTTAAAAAAAATTAAGCTTGTTCTTTCATGGGTTTTGGATTTTCTTTAACATATGTCTGTCCATGTAATTCTCTCTGTGGCTCAGCAATCCTGTTCTCTCCCAACTTAGCAAGAGCTTCATCCATCTCTGACCCTAGTTGCCCTTTTTCTGTTAGAGAAATACGATGGTAGTAGAGTTGAGAGGAGGTTGAGGGAGTAAAGGACTGACAAAAAAAAAGGGGGGAGAAAGAAAAATTATGCTCCTTGTGTCAAACAATCTTGTGTATGTTTTCAGCTCTGAAGAAATGAATGGCTCCCACTAGTAGAAACAGAGAAAAGAATGTAGACCTAATCATTCTTTTCTTGAATCAGCAGGGAGTTAGAGTGCACTCAAAAATATTAATCTGTTAAATAGCTGAAATCTGTGAAACAGACACTGTTGTCTGTCCTGTGTGTGTTCAGTCCTGTAATACAGCAAAAAATTTGATCTCTTCATGGTTTTAACTGCCCTTCAGGTCCGAGTTTGAAAGTAAGTGATAATGGTACTTCCTGTTTGTCCTTCCAGGCTGTGAAGCCTAAAATGATACTGTCATCGTTCAAATTTATTCTCTTATTTGTCATGAGTTTTCTTGATTTCTGATACAAATTATTCACTAGTAATTCTTGCTGTTGTCTAAAATGCTCTAGTTCCTGCTGGTTTTCTTGTTCCAGCTGCCAAATCCCCTTGAAGAACCAAACTCTTTAAATAGTTCACTGTGTTTTTTCCATACAGATGATTACTGTGGTTGCCATGTGACTTTGGCAGATATAAATACGGCAAGGTGATTTTTGTGATCAGGGAATGGGGAAGTATAACTCAAACTGAATCACTGTTTAGGCTTTTAAACAAACATTTGCAATTCCTGTTATACAGTGAAGGTCTAGTAGGTTTGGTTTTTTTTTAGTATTCCATAGAAGATATATAGGAATGCGCTACATGAAGGCATGCAATAAATATCATCTTTTTTGCATCTTTTGTCAAAGGCTCAGATTAAAAACAAACCCAATTTTTTTAGAATGGATATGTACTTGGATGCACTACTGTCTGCTAATTTTTACCCAATTTGATTAGTTGTCATCTTTCAAGTTGAAATTGCTACCTGTTAATATTTTTCCTTTTATGATAGTTCTTGCCCATACCTGTCAGTACGACTATTCTTTCATAGTATTCAAATACAAACAGCTATCCTGGTATAAGAATCTGGTGACCACGGTAGATTCATAGTATGAAATGAAGATCAAAAAAGCCTCTCTGAAGTGTAGTGTATTCAAGAGAATAAGGTACCAGAATAAATTTTTGTGCTTTTCCACAAGAAAGCAAATAGATCTCTCATTTTACTAATTTCTTTCTGTTCATTCAGATTCTCACATCAGCTGTAACGTAGCAGGTAGCAGCATGCTGTATGTGAGGTGGCAGTCTTTTTTTAATTGTAACCATGAAAATATGGATGCTGGATAGCTGCCTTTTTTTTTTTTTTTCCTTGGAGGTAAAAGTTCTCAGCACAAATGCAACTTCTTCCCTAGGAAGGGATGTTTTAGTAGCCTTTTATAGAGAGACAAAGGAAATAGAAAAAGTTGCTGTTATCCTTGTGACTAGGGCAGACTAGAGTAGTAAAATTGGGATACTTCAATGTATTTTTAACACTGACAAGCAAAACCACACACAGCACACTTATATAGCACCCCAGCAGCCAATCCCAAGGTACTTTACAAATCAATTGGTTAATAACAGAATTTTGTGTAATATCACATTTATTTTTAAAAACTAAAAGCAAACAAAAAACCCCAAACCAAAAAAAAAAATCAGTTCCTTAACAAAGGAGGAATAGATTTGCCTTTAGATGCCATGAAGTTCATTGAAACTAAGGATGCTGGTATGTCCTTAGGGTCAGGACTTAGTTTTTCTAAATGTACTGGAAGGAAACAAAAATATTCTGCACTTGATTGTAAGAGAGGCTTATAAAGAAAGTGTAAAAAAGAATGATGTTTTAGAATGGTATTCTTAAAAGGCCTTACATTAAAGTATTTTGAGATAGACTTGGTCTAATGAAAGATTGTAAAAAATCTGATGAAAATGATCCAAGTCTCAGTTCTGTTGCAGAATTGCACTGTGGTACTGTATTTTAGCTGTTAGGTCATTTTAATAGCACAACTTGGAAGTTTGTAAATTGGAATCCTGAACCATCTTAGTGAGACAAAGTACTGATGGCTATTTTCAGTCTCAAACTGTTGGTGCTTTGAAGGTGGTACTGGTGATAGTCAGATGGCTGCATTTCAACAGTGGTGGGAAACATTCCTGTATGTAAATACTGTAAAGTGCTTTGGAGGGGAAAATGGCGCTATATAAATGTAAGACATTAAGTGCCTCTGAAATAATAATAAATCTAAAGATAAAATATATCTAGGCTTTTTATGTTTCTTGATGATGTGATTAGGAATTTTGTAACAATCCAGTGAATGGATACTCAACAAATCTCAAGTTACTTAATGAGCCGATTGACTTCTGTTCAGCTTATAAAGTCTGTAGTACCTGTTTGAAATTCTCCCTGGAATCAGCCAGATGATGCAATCCATTTGTAGACTTAACAAAGAACATGAGCTCAGTACTTGAAGATATGTACTTAGAGCAACTGGATTATAGGTGCATTAATCTGTTTTAAGTCTGCACTGATTCTGACCTCTGTTCTCTCTCCTTTTGTCCACTGTTCACTTCTTTTCCCTTCAAGTTTATTGATTTTTAGAAGGGTGTGGGCCTGCATAAGGTTAACATAAAATGAGTATTAAATGTGGTAATTCTTTTGAGTGCTCCTTAATATTTGTACCTTGAGGAAAAGGGGATAATTACTTTCTGCTTTTATTGTATTTGTGATTTTTTTTGAAATGTTTTTCCTCTGTGGACAGAGCTATTGACATAACTATCAGAACACTTGAAACTCAGTAGTGTAAGAGTAAAACCAAGATATGGTTTAATGCACTGACTTCAAGGGTCTTCTCTTTTGATCAGTGTTTTCTAATGCTAATTAGTACTAATTTTTCCTTCTCTTAGCTGGGATTAGTTGTGCAAGTGTATTGTGTAGCATTCTTAAAGGGTGGAACTCCCTTTGAAAGGAAATTCCTTAACCAATGATGCAGTCTAAAAATATAAGTATCATTGAACTCAGCTGATGAGCTGGAGAGAAAAAAAGGAACTTGTATTGTGGATGTGATGTTTAATACTTAAATTTAATAGAGCAGTGTGAAGTCAACTCTGGGCTCTCAGCTACCCAATTCATTCCAAATGCTTGGTTTGTATGCCTCAACACTTTAATTCTGCCTTATGTAGAGGAAAAACATCAGTTCCTGGAGCAGTAGAAGTGAAACCATGGAGCAACAAATTCAAACTCCTTTTGAAGGATCAATCCACCGTCTTTTGAGAATGTTCAGTAGCCTTGGTCCAGTATTGCTGAATGTTTACCAAAGCTCCAGACAGCTATCCCCTCTCAACAAAAATTAAGCTTTCTTGATGAAGGCTATGTTTGTTTGGGTGCTTTCTACAGTACTAGTATGAGACTGGAATAAGCTCTGAGGTGAACAGAACATCGCTGGGGACCTTGTAATCTTCCATCCCAACTGCAAAGCATGCTTCACTGCATAATGGAGGTACTTTTCTTACCAAAAATAAACCACCCGGAGGAAATGCACACAAATATCCAACTGATCTCTGACCCTTGTAATTCTTCTGGGAAAAGTTGTTAGTGTAAGCTGCATCCTAGCCAGTACTTGTGTTGCAGGGATGTTTCTTGGCCAAATGTGGCATGGATAGAGTGGAGTAGAGGATAGAGTGGAGTAGACACACCTGACTGGACAGCCTGAACATAAGATTACTTTAGCACTGTTTGAAAGTGGCTTGTAGTATTAGATAATTCTGGATGTATTACCACTTCAACAGCTGTGTTCTGTAAATTGGGAAGATGACTAGTGAGAAACAAAGCAGCATGGAGTGCTACCATGATGCTTACTTGACAGGCTTTTTAAATTAAATTGCATCTAGTATTGACAAATGGCATCTTTCTTCAGAACAGGGAATTCAATCTCTGTGTTTCTTAAATCCATGAAGAAGAAATACCCTGTGGATTAGGACTGGAGAGAAAGAACTAATTTAGTGATTCTTCTGTAGGATAAAGCTCTGCAGACTCAATGGATACTAGTGCATCACCTAATCTTTGGTGTTCTGAAGTGGTCTAGATACGTGACAAAACATTAAGATGTCCTATCATCAAGATAGGAGTTAAAAATCCATTATTAAAATGTATATATAATTGTCATACGTACTGTGAGATGTCCATAGAAATGTCCGTGATAATAGTCACCTGAAATCCAACTGTGGAAAAATAGTAGGGGGAAAAGTTACCTTGGTTTTATAGAAAAAATAAACTGCAACTTTTATCTGTCTGGAAGAAAATCAATTGTGCAAGTTCAAATTTCTGCTTATGGAACTGCTGCTCAAAACCCTTACTTCTATGTATAGTGTATTTCCTTCTTTATTAGGTGTAGATACCAGTTAGTTTGTGTCAGTCCCTTTCATGAGCATGAAAAGAGGTTTCTTGGTTTACTGAATTAGTGAGGTGCAGCTGATTTGGGAGGAGGTTGGTTGGTTTTCCCTTCACGTGTAGTGGTTCCAGGCTCTTGCTAGTGCTCTGGGTACAGTCAGATTTTTATTAATGCTGCCTTAAACTGCACCTGAAAGTTTAGAATGCCTGTGCAGGTTACAGGTTCCTATAATATGTTTGTACATTCTGATGAAACTCGTCCTGTTGTGTGCATTCAGACATAAGATGAAACTGGTTTCATCTTGAAACAAAAATATATGCAAGTTAGGTTATTATGAAAGCAATTTATCTTTTATGTTAAAACCTTAGAAAAGTTGCTCAGCCATCTTCGAACTGCTTCATCATTTTCTTTCCTTGTATGCAAAAGCAGAGCCAGATGACAAGCAGCCTGGCACTTCACTGTTCAGTGACAGAAGCTGTCTTAAGGGGAT